CTCCGGTTCCTTCAGCTCAGCGCCATAAAGTGTCTTCTCACTGTAGTGCGCTGACCTGCTCTCACACCCCCATGACCCATATCACTCCTCTTCACACTGGTTCTCTTTCTCTCTCTCTTTCTCTCCGACAGCCTGTAGCTACAGCTGACTTGTTCAACAAGTCCAACCGGCCACTTAGATCCCAAGATTTACGAGCCTTTTTTATTATTTTAGCTGGGAAAACTGTTTTTGTAAGGACGCGAGACCTCCACTTCTTGGTCTTTTAAGGGTTTGGGAAGTGCACAAAAGGTCGGAAAGGTGTTGCGTGTCAGTATCGTCCCGATATTCGGTATCAGTGCATTCCTAGGCCAGATATTAAATTATCCATTAAAGTAACAAGTTTAGCCACATCATAATGTGGGTGGAGTTACCCACACATTATCATCATGTGCTCTATCACATTAAGCATTGGACAAAGTCTGAAAAATATGAACTGTTTCTAAATCTGGAACAAGTATGTCCTGTAGAAATGGAAAGTAGGAATACCAGCATGTGGTTGCTGTTAAAACATCACTGTGTTAAAAAAAAGACTCAATTAGTTTTCAGTCGACTGAAGATGAAATGTGTTTCAGGCTCCACAGCTTAGTTCAGCTCAGTTTAACACAGTTCACTCCATTTCAGTTCAGTTTGGCAGCTTTTTTTTGTTTGAGCCTTTGTAGGGTGCCTATGAAGTTGATCAATAAGCAATTATTTTGAATGACTAATGGCAAAAGGGCAGTTAAACTGCAGTTGATGGAATTTCTGTGATCTGTCAACAAGCCACCCAAATATTCCTCCTCTTTTCTTCGATGCGTGACATTCGATCGTTGGATTTCTCCCTGTGAAATGAGGTTAAGTGTGTGTGTGTGTGTGTGTGTGTGTGTGTGTGTGTACTGTAGTGCTGAGGGCTACATTCAGACTCGTCTGTGTCTCTACAGGTTATTCATTTTTATTCTCAACTCATTATAAGAGCCTTTGGGCAAGAAGTAGATGATCTCTCTGTTCCCTCTCCTTCTTTCTCTCCTCTCTTGTAGGGATCAAATTGTTTGACTGTGTAGCTTTAATAGTCACTGCACCACAAAATAGAAACTAATAAATCTAAAAGCCCTGAAGTGTTTCTTTTTATAGATAAATATATATGACTAAATCAGCATGAATCAAGTTAAAGTTTGTAACAAGCATCCGTAGTTATTTATTTAGCATTATTCATCATTATAACACACAAATGTAAATAATCTTCACCATCAGGTCTGTGTTAGTTTGAGTTGATCTCATTTTTATTGGCCGTAACTTTAGCAAACAAGTTTTTTTAATGTCAAATATTGCTTAATCCTGATTGTCTTATTGAAGTATGTGATTTCAAACCAGCGAGGAGAGAGCTTAGACAGAAAATATACAGAGATCTCTCAAGTGAAATAACTAAAATATGTTCTAACCTTGGCAGAGAATTGTGTGTTCATGTCGGATCTAGTCGCTCACGATAAGTAGCTGATTGAACACAAAGGCTCTCTGAGCTTTGAGCGTCTACCTCTAAACCTATCGGGCCTCTAGATCTGTCGTCTGTGTCTGACTGACTCAGATCTAGTTTATCAAAAGGTCGGGCGAAATAGAAATGTGGCGCTAAAGAATTAATCCATGCAATTATTTGACCCTGAAGCAAATCCAGTTGTGAGGAAGCAGTCTTTCATCTGTGGAAGTGTGCAGCGACGGCCTGGGTGCTTTAATGATGGAGTGACTGTGTCGTCTAGACGAGTGGGAGGTGAAGAGATTACCCCTCGAAAACAAACACTGTGACAGACAGCATGTCGCACACAGATAACTTTATTATTTGCCCTTCTGGGTGTACCCGTCACTTAGCTATGTGAGAGGGTCTACTGACTGTATGACTGGACTTGTATTAAGGGTCTGGAGTCTGTGGAGGCTACCGGTCTATATTGCCAAAGAATATATACGATGCTACCTTCCACTTAGCATCGTGTCTTGTCTTTAATTCTTTTATCAGCAGCTTTAGAGGACTTTTTGGTTCTGTTGTATCCACATCCGGACTCATGGTTCATCCTCTCCTCTCCAAATATTTTTTGGCATTAGTGGCCAGTGTGTCACATGTAGCCAGGACTTAATACTGAAGGGTAACCTCAGGGTGGTGGATTTTTCATGAGATTAGACTCAGAAGTCTCCATCGCGCTTAATCCGTAAAGCATTTTCAGTGCAGTTCATAGACATACATTTATTTAGTTGTCCTCTGTTCTCCAACATATTAGTATCTGCTGTTGCCAGTATTTAAATGACAGTATAATTAAATGTGAGTGACCATAACATTGTGGTCACTCACATTTAATTATACTGTCATTTAAATACTGGTGATGATGTATACTTTTATAGTGTCAGATGTTTCTGTACCACGGTGTAAAACACAGTACAGTGCAAATGTTACACATAAGCAAATGAAATCACAGAGTCCAGCCTTAACGGAGGTTTTCTTCCCAAATACCTAAGAAACCTAAGCTGATGGGAACACAGTCAGAGGCCCCGGAGGAGGAGGTACTGGTGGAACTGGAGATACAATGAAAAATACACAATACCTGTCTTGGATGGGGCTAAATTTCATGTTTTCATTTAGTTTTTGCTGAAAAAAAAACCAATATTCATCTTTGGCTAGCAACTGAATACATGTGTGGCGTCATGATGGGTGTAAGGTGTAGCGTTTGAGCACCATGAGGGTGAGCTCACAGTCCTTTTGTTGTCAGCCTGCTAATGGAGGTGGTCACTTGACTGGATCTAAAGTGTGCACAGATGGACACGCATGCTAGTACAAGTACACACACGCAAAGACAAGTATGTGCTCACACATATGCAGAAAATCACAGTGTGAAATGCACACCCAGACAGTTGGATGCCTGTCCAAAGATGTAGACACACACACACCTGTGAACAGCCTCATGCAGACAGACAGGCATGAAGACCAGCTATACGCAGAAACACACACACACACACACACACACACACACACACACAGCAGGAAAGCCCCCACTGTGTTGGTGCACCGTGGGTGGGAGGCTGCGACCAGTGGCCTTTTGGCTCTGAGTCCGAGGTGGGCTGAGAGTTTGCGTTCCACCCCCTCAACGCAGGGACACAAAGACGGGCTGTGTCCGAGGAAAAGAGGGACAGAGGAGAGGAGAGAGGTCCAGAAAAAAGGGGAAGAGACGGTGAAATGTTGAAACAGTGATTTTTTTTTTGGGGATGTGTCAGTGAGATGTGAGATGGGCAAATTAAGAAAAGCAAGTGGAGGAAGGAAGATTAAAGACGGAGAGAGAGGAGACAAATGGATGTGGAGGGATTGAGGAAGACAGATGGGGAGAAGGAAAGAGGGAGAGAAATGGAGGGTGGCCAGATGGAACTCAAACTTTTCACAGCTCGTGGGAGGAATGTCTTTGGGGAACTCTATTTCCGATTGTGTGTGCGTGCGTGTGTGTGCGTGTTTGGATACGGGCGTGTTTTGACAGTCTTGTCGCGTTATGTGGTTAATCATAGCACAGCAAATATGAACTTCCTTTTTGTTTGTATTACTCTGTGTGGGTGTGTTCCACATGGACGCTCTATTTTGAGTTGATCTATTGTGTGTGTGTGTGTGTGTGTGTGTGTGTGTGTGTGTGTGTGTGTGT